CATTCTTGGTTCACATCATATACGGGGCCATCCATAAAAGACATCACCCAAATTTTGCCGACGTTTGAACCCCCCCCCCCCCCCAAATCATCACCACCGTTGTCACAAAAAGTTAGTCCCCCTTCACAAATATAACGTGACAAACCTCTGCACCCACCCCCTATTTATTTATATCAATTATATAATTATAAATTTTGTTTAATGCAGATGTTGGCATTGCCTTCTTTTTGTTTTAGCTACGATTGTAAATGGACGTGATCTAAGATCATATTTTCTTTTCCCTGTAGTTCATTCAAGTGATCCATGTTGAGCAACGAAAGTATCCACACACACACACACGGGCTAAATACAAAAAAATAATTTACCAATAAATTAGTGAAAATGCAAGCTTCAGGTGACCACACTTTATTTTGTCCGGATGTCCGGATGGCCACCAGTGACAAATTGGCTAACTATTTGCCCATCCAGTGGGCCATCGTAATGGGATCAGAGTTACTCTCAGTAAGATTATTACCGAAAGGACTGAGATGTAATGCAGATGAATATGTATGAAAACTACGTAAAATGAACCACTCCACCATGTAAATGTAAGCGTAGGGTGAACATTTAAGCGGCATCAAAATAATGTCAATAAGTCAAGAGTAATCGGTTAGACTCTTCCTTCAGGGACTGGCGACTAGTTTGTGCCACGAATATCACCATCCACAGCAGTGTGCTATTTATTATCATTGTTGGCAGATAATTTAAACTTAAACTTAAACTATTCTGTACCGAGCTTCCTCATTGTTACATTCCAGCTACTGTGTTATCTTTTTAATCAGGAACAAGACGATAACATGTCACGGCAAAATATCAACGCCACATACAGTATGTCTCTCACTAGTTTCATTGAAGGTTATGTTGGAGGCTTGTATGTTCCCACATTAAAGGTTTCTATGGCCCCCTCGTTGGGTTCTTATGTGTTCCCATTCTTAGAGCTATATCCTCTCATAAGAGGATTTAGTTAGCTCTCTCAATTCTCTGATGGTTATGTCACCACCCATAACCCTCCCCCCCCCCACCGACCAAGGCTAATATCTAATTGATTGCATGACATGTTTTTGGTCCTACTTTGGTTTTGTTATGCCAGCTAAACCACTCATTATGAAATTAATGTTGTGCTTTGCTAATCACCTCAATCAACCAATAACTTTCAATAAGTATTTTAAAAAAAACTTTATCCAAATAAAATAACTACACACAAAACAACATTCACTCTGTCTACTCAATATCAGGGGTTCTCAAACTAGGGCCCGTGGGCCAGATCCAGGCTGCCGTACGGGTACCTGGCTAGAAGCGACAAAAATTAACCAACCACATATGGGACCGGACATTGATCATCTCATTAGCTTTACTTCCATTTGAAATACTATTAAGTTTATGTTGGATAGATTTTTTCTTTATTACAAATGTTTTTTCAGGTTGTTATTTTTTCCAATAATGATATGTACAGTGTGAATAAAACTTGTAAATATTTATTACAAACTATAGTCTTGTCTCCGACTGTGTTTGAGAGACACAGATCCGGGTCCCCTTTGTTTAGAAGGCTTGAGGACCCTTGCTCTATATTTTGAAATAAGTGGTAGATATATACACATTTGGAGGGGGGGGGGGCAAATTCATATGTTAGAGAAACTCACAAACAAACAAAAAAGACAATTTTTTTATTATGACATAAGATCTCCAAATATGTGGTTACACAAGTATCTCCTTACACTTA